TTTTCTAAAATTAAAAGAATAATAAAATTGCAAAGAATTCTGACTTTTGATACGATATGAAACGAGCGTGTTTTGATACTGTAATCAAACATGGTTTTCGACCAATCACAGCGCGMGTAGTATACTAAATATTTTAGAAACTCAGTTTGAAACCGGTGGTTGACCCTAACTACTAAACAACGCATTCGAAATCCGATGATTCAATAATAGCGAAAGAGGCAAAGAAAGTACGACCGACCGCTAAAGCAAGATTCACAAGAAAAAGGGACGAGTTCTTAAAGTCCGTCGAGGAGAATAAAGGTATTGAAATCGCAAAATCGAACTTCGCTGACCTTCGCGACACATGGAACACAGTAGAAAGTAAGCATGATCTTTATACTCTTCACCTGACGTAAGAAGAAGTCGAACAAAGCGAACCATGGATTAATGAACTACAAGAATTGTACAGCGCTGCAACCGTTACCCACATGAAATATATCGAGGAAAACAGAGCCAATATGAAAGAAAACAAAGAGAAGTCCTAAATTACCAACGCGCATTGAACAAGAAAGATTTCAGAGATTATTAGAAAATTTGGACGAGAAGAAGAAATCCCTTGAATCAATCTTTGAAACACAAACGAACCACGCGCTTAGCTTAATGAAATTAATACAGGACGGCCAATAAATCCCCGCCACTCTGCGCAAAATAGAAAGAGAAATGGAAGGCACTTTGGCCAACTGTGATGAACTATACAACAAGGCGCTCGACCTACTTGACGGAACAATCATAGAGCGCGAGATTGAATGGGTTAGCAGCATACACGCGCGCTACAACGACGTCATCGCAAAAACTCATACGCGATTGAGAAGAAAACACACGCAAACAGAATCTTCTGCAGCTCGAAAAAGTTAAAATGCTGCTCTTCACTGGGGAGATATAAGAGAATACCCAAGGTTTTAAACCGACGTCAACAAGCAAGTAATGCCAACCATCAACGCTGAAAATGCACCCTACATCCTCCGATCGTGCCCCAACAGAGAGACAGCCAACGCTGTAAAGAGCATCGATGACGACCTAGACGCCATATGGAAGCGATTGGACGAAAAGTATGGGGACCCCGCCAAAGTTGTCGATGTTATTATGAACGCTATCCAGAACACAAGGATTGTAACAGAAGGTGAAAAGACTCGCTGACTTTATCAACATCATTGAAGATGGCTATCGGGACCTACAAAGACTGGGACTTGAAAAGGAGATAACGACGACTAGCTCTGTAAGCGTAATCGAAAAGAAGCTACCAGCCGATCTAAAACGCGAATGGTCCAAGCTAGTGAGTCGCCAAAGTGGACAAATTCTTGAGTCTCCTGCGATTTCTCATGGATCAAAAGTCAGCTATCGCATACGAAAGCTCAGAA